CGGCCATGTTATGAGAAGAGGGAAAATAGAACATGTTGTGACCACTGGAAAGATCTGTGGAAGGAGGAATAGAGGAAGACAACGAGAGAAGATGCTTGACGGTCTTGTTGCATGGCATGGAGGTGTGTCGGCACACGAACTGATACATGCTGCAGGAGATCGCAGATTGTGGAGAAGCATGAGCGCTAACGCCAGTCGGCAAAGCACCTGATGATGATTCAATGGATTCAAATTATCTCCATCGTCTGTGTTCTGTCATATTTTTGTCTTTGTTCAAACTTACTCTTTGTATTTTAATTTCTATGGTATAGTTTTGTTTGACAGTTAACAAAACTTGCGAGAGACCAGTTGCAGATCGACTGGAAGTAGACAGTGAAAGATGGACTACTGCCAAACTATAGAGCAGACGTCTGAGAGAAAACCAACCTCGGTACAATAGAATATCAATGTTTGTATGTAGATTATGAAGCACAAACTGCCACTAGCACATTGGGTTTTACAGCCATAGCAGACGCTAACACAAGCAGGGACACAGCTTCATGGGTCCTAGGAAATGACGGTTGCCTGCATTGATTACATGCCACAATGGTTTTCAGAGAACAGTAATGGATGGTATGGTTTCTGGAAGAAGAGACAGATAACGACTGAATTTCAAGAACACACAGGGCATGCAGGTCAACGAGGTGTCCATTATTTATAAACCTATGTCCCTTCTGGTCAGCAGTAGTCTCAAAGCACCACCGTCGCAAACCCAGTTGCGCCCGCCCTTTGAGAGTGTTAAGAAAGCAGACCGACCGAAATACTGGGCGAAAAGGAGACCTATTCTTATGATCACAAAACTCCTGCTGTATCCTATCCTTCTTGGAGTACTTTCTACCTGAGATGATAATGTATAACCTATATTTATCTTTGTGTCAAATACTTTTCATAGTGTCAGTATTTTGGAGACAATTTCTTTCTCGTTAAGATTATTTTGCTCTTTCTTGAATGCTTGTAACATGGATGACAAATCACTCAATACATTTATTGCAATATCGTTGTCGAAGTTGAGGTTTCAACTTCATTGCAGTCGGGTCATCTCGTATTTACTCCGTTCCTGAGGCAGTGAAAATTTAACCTAATGTCGCTAACTGTCTAGTTTGAAAAACTGGTGAACTAACAGTTAGTCCCGACACAATCTAAAAATTATGTGCCCGCAGTAAATGCATAAGGCAGTTGCTAAAGGCGCCAATGCCAAAAATACACTTCGTCGTTGATGGAAGTAATCAGTCACGATAAGTTAGCCATACACGGTAAAACTATTACATCAGGTATTTCGCCAGCCAACGCCATAACCGGCTACCGCCAAATTGAATACCCCCACACAACTGCTGCACAAATGAAAGGAATTCTACATGAAAAAACACAGATCACAGTGCTGCATTAAACACTAAACTCGGTAGCTTAGGTAGCGAAACCGCAGACTTCAGTCCATTTGTGGAAATTGTATTAGCAAAGCGCTGTCAGAGACAACAGTTCTGCAATGCTTAGTCCTGCATATTGGGCCGAACATCTAATAGTCTGTGAGCTGTCAATTATTATTAATTGTTGACACAAATATTACTAGTGTGTGTAAGTGTACATATGCATATATGCCTGAAAAAAGTATTTTATTTATAAATGTATGCTGACATATAAGGCAATTGTTAGATGGCATAAACAAGCTAACTTGTGTACACCAATAATACATGCGTGTCGGCATTTAAGGACAAAGGGTCGGTCCCAAAGATCTCTTCCTGTCCTGACGCGGCGAGGCATTCCAGGAGTAAAGAAGATCTAAATAAAAGGCTATGAATAAGCATCAGCGATGAACTTATTTCTTTGTTTGTGGAAATTTACTCTCAGCATTAATAAACGTTAAGCATAGTATCTTTCAGCTACCAGCCTCTCCTCTTTTTGTTTAACTTCTTTGATACAAATTCTGTTATGTTGAGTCACATTTTGAATCTAATGCTCAGCTATCCGAATCATTACTTGGGGGCATATAGGGCTAGACCTATATTTTTATAGACATATCGGCACAAGATGGGTGATGTGGTCAACATCACACCGGCCGCCTTTACTTCCCGGGACTGCACCGGGTAACCACTCAAGGCTGGGTCGACCTGGGAGTCAGGGTCATTTTTGGAAAGACTCTGGCTCCGCCAGGGAGCAAAACTACGACCTTCCGATCCGCGGCGAACGTCTAGCCACTCCGCAACGGGCACTCCAACTGAGCTACTGCCGATTCCTATTTCAAAATATTCTTGTAGAAATACGAATATCATGAAGATTGTCTTTTGTTCTTCTGTCTGAATCTTTATATTTAAAAGCCATATCAAAGGCTATGTTTTCCCTTCTCTCAAACACGAAACACATTTGGATTTGCCTGTAAGACCTAGCTCACCCACGCCACAATGTCATACTTACCTGCAAAAGTTGAAAGCCACTGTACTGTAGCCATTATCAGTCATATTTTTTG